CCTCGCCGGCCGTCCGGCGAAATTTCCGAACAAACGGACTTCAAATGGCATGATATGAACATATAACATGTAATTATACTGAAAACATGATAAGTCACGCAAGGGGCTGGACTTGGGTCGTGGCGGGCGCGCCGTGCGCCGCCGACGGCATTGTGCCGCTCCTCGACCAACTCATATTATTCCTCGGCAATAAAGATTCAATGAACATAAACATGACTTGCTGAAACCTAAAAATACATGATGGTCGAAGCTCGAATTTTTACATGCAATGACGTGCGGTGGCCCGTGGTGCGCACTAGGTGTGCGGCCACAACCCTTCGGCCAAATGACTAACAACATGACAATTCATCCGAACACTTTAGCTAAAATAAACATGATATCTCATAAAAAGGCTAAACATGCGGGCATTGGTCGGAGAAATATTAACTTAACATAACGGACATGCATGCTCGGCCCGTGGCGCGCTACGTGCGCGGCCACGTCTCCCTCGGCCGAAACGCTAGAACATGAAGAAATTTCCCGAACAATATAACTACTCTTAGCATAATATTGCAAATAAAAGCTATGCATACTAAGGTTGCTCGAGGAAATAGAAACATATAACATGACATACACATAATGGCTACGGCTCTCGCACAAGGCGCATGCATGAGGCTATCGAGAGCATAAACTAAAATAAACGTGATACACTCTGCCATTTAGGATGGAAACTTACCTCTGAATATGCTCAAGTGACGAAGCTCCCGAACCTCCTTGCTCTCGGCCGAAACTTCTCGCGTGTGTGCGTGCTGGGCTGCTGGGCTGGGCGCGGCTGCTGGCTGTGCCTGTGAGTGGCGTGCGGTGGTGCTGCTGGCTGGGCGCGGCTGCGGTGCTGGGTGCTGGGGCGTGTGGTGGTGCTGGGCTGGAGCTGCTGGCTTTCGTGTGCTGGGCTGTGTGCTGTGTGCGTGTGGTGTGCTATGACTTGCTCAAAATATAGCTAAGCCTCTTACTCTCTCAACTCTCTAATGCTCGCGGCTTAGGGGAATAAAAGGGAGCAAAATGGTACAAAAATGACTAAGTGTCCCCTTTTATAACACAAAGGCCGAAGCTAAGGGGGAAGTTGGGAGAGGTTTGGTCAAATGCTTGAGACACTTGGCATATCATGCAATAAAGGCCAAAAACTCGTCTCCCTCTCTCACGTGTAAATAGGCTAGGAAATGAGGAAGAAAATCTTGGTCAATTGGCATTATATGCACGGCCAACAAGGGGAAAGGAGACAAAAACACATGAATCCAAGGCACTAAATAACAAAGAACATGGTATCTTGCACATTATGCCAAAAGACAACACATTACCCAAGAGCTACAAGACAAAAGGGCATCTTGACCCCCTCCACACACCACATGCCGCAATCACACACCCACACACACTACACGCGGCACACACTCACACACGCACACCAACACCTACACTACCACACTTCACGGCACACACACCACATACTCACATGCGCACACGCACGCATATTAACACATGCACACACATGCACGGTTAATTAGTATTAATTAGGATTAATTAACACTAATCAAGGTGATTAAATTTAATTAATCACACTTAATGCTTAATCAAAATAATTAAGCATAATACTTAACTGATAAAATTATTCCGGACGTAAACGGTACGTCGGAAATAATTTCTGGGAATTCGGACTGAAATAACTGAAATTAATTAACTCCGAAATTAAAATCGGAACTGAATTATTATTATACTGATAAAAGTTGGGATATTACACATGGCCAGTTCAATACAGACCTCGTGTCTGGAGTTTACAGATTACAGTTTACTTATATATACCTACGGTCATGATAATGATATTATTATCAATGTTTACTTTAGTATGAGTTTCTGCGGAGTACAGTGTTTTTAGTACTCACGCTCCCACTATTATCATGTTTTTCAGGTCATGACGTCGGGATAGAGGATTGAGATGACGGAGCTGTTTGGGACTATGCTTATAAAGTTTAAATTTCCTAAGCTTTATGCTTATAAAGCTTAAATTACATTTTATACATTTTGAATTTGGCATTGCGGTGTCGTTAGTATTTTCAAATAACTTGTTTTCACGATCACGGTACTGCTATCCAAATTCACCACTACAGTTTCCGCTGATGTTTTACTGTTCGTCATTCTTAGTCAAAGAAATCAGTCAGCGAACTGTTAGTTAGTTTTTCAAAACCAAAAGTCCAGATTTTTCAGTTAGTTATGTATTTTAGTAGCACTCCGAATCAGTACTTCGCAATGTGAAATGTTTTATTTTAAATATAATTGCGAAAAGCGCACTCTGATATTTAAGGAAAAGCGGGGTGTTACAGTTGGTATCAGAGCACATTTTTGTGTATCTGGATACTTCAGTAAGTCTGAAAGTTTTAGAAAAACCCGAACACGTCACGCTCACGCCTCGCCGACTACCAGGTAAGTGCGGATTAAGTTTTAAATTATAAACAATTTACTATTTCTATGCTCAGAAATTTCTCAGTTATGATATAGTTAAGATGCTCGAATCATGTTCAAGATTAGTAGTCAGTATACTTGGGATTTTACGTCAGTATTCCCCAGTCATGTTTAGCGACTCGAGAAATTTGTGTTCTTTATTGATCAGCTTCAATAAAGTCATCAGAAAGGATGTTCGAGTCTGATCTCAGAACTCTAGAAAGGGGCTAGGATTGAGAACCCTAAATTTCATTCTAGACTTATTCAAATTAAGTTAATGCCTCGTTCAGGATTTTGTAAACAATTATGTTGTACAAATCTTAGCATATATGTCCCTCAGAAATTTTCTATCGAAAATTGCCCGTTTTACCAATTAGTTGGTGTTGGGTTCTGTTAGGAACGTCAAACAACATGCACAGTATTGAACTTTATCGAAGTAGTAAATTTTTGGACGTTTACCTTTTAAAATTTTTGCCGACTCTGAGACGATGTAGAGTACCGTTGGTGAAGTTCGTCTGAAAACCACAACCTAATGGGTGGATAGGTTTGGCCTTTAGTTGATTCTAATCAACTCGTCAAACGGATCACGAACGGACGGTGTGCGGGTCTCGGTCGTCGGGTGGCAGGGGGCAGCTCGCGGGCGTCGTGCGCGTCGGGTGCTGGGCATGGTCGTGCGTGTTGCGGACGCGGGTACTGGCAGCTGGCAGCGGATCGCGAACGCTGGGAACGCGGGCTGATGCTGGTAGGACGCGCGGGACTGCTGGCGATGCGTGGGTGGATGCCGGGCGTGTGCGTACGCGACGCGCTTCTCCTATGCGGACGCGGACTAGGTGCTGGGCGACTGCAACACACGCGGGCGTGTTGCGCACAACTCCTGGACGCAGGCGGACTGTCGCGCACGTACTCCTTGTGCGCTGGCAATGTGCGATGGCGACTGCGAGCAGCAGGGATGAGCGGCGATCGCACGAACCTGGCGTCGGGCCTTCGTGCGATGTTCCTTGGCGTCGCTGGGCACTGGGACTGGGCTCGGGTGGGCGCGACTGCGGGCGTTGGCTCGCGGTAGCGATCGGCTGGGCTCGGACGGCGACCGGCGGCGATAGGCGGTTTCCGGCGGCTACTCACAGCGGCGAAGGCGGCGATGAGCTGGGGAAGATGACCGGAAATATATGTATAGAAAGGCTCAATCAATTGTACCAAAAAGCCTTCTAATGGATTACCTAAACACCTATTCCGATTAAACTTGGTGGAGCGTTTAATCGGATCTCCCAAACTCTTGAACAAAGTAATTCCCTCGTGTATGTAGTAGGGAAAAATCGGCCAAGACTACTCTTGTAGAAGAGTATGGGACATGGTGTATTTATAGGCTCCATTAGGGACCTTAAGGAGGTGCTAAATATGGGCTTATTCCATTAGGCCTAGGACTCCTAATTCCAATCCAATACTAACTCAATCTAGGAAGGAGATCTCCTACTAATCTTCTGTAACACCCCGGACAAAAATTATATTAGTAGCTCGACTTATTTATCGGATTTAGTATTATTTTAATTATGCGGAGAATTATTAATATTAATTGCATAATTTATTTTTTACTAAGCCCAAGTAGTATTTTATAATCGAGCTTAGTAGCAATTATATTACCGAGCCCGACATTATTTACTCGGTCCAAGTAACGGCATTTATTTTCCTAAATCGAGCCCAATCTATTAGGCCCGATTTCTAAGCCCAACAAGAGAAAAAAACCCTAAGCTACCCACCCTTCTATAAATAGATGCCCCCATGTTCCCCAACACCCAACATCAAGAGCAAAACCCTAGCCACCCCAAGCTTCTATTCATCATCTTCCCCCACTTCATTTTCTTTCATTTTTCAAGATCTAAAGCTAAGATCATTACATTTTAGCTTCATTTTTCAAGATCTTGTGCTAGAAACAACACAAATTCAGCTTTCCATTTAATATTTATAAAAAAAAAAGAGAGAAAAAAAAAATAGGAATCTGCTCAGGCGCACAGCTTCTTCTTCGCGACCTCCATCTCCGACCATCCTTCCATTTTTTCCGGCAATTTCACAGCAGCGAACCCGACCAGATCCGCACAGCAGCTCGTCCGACCATTTCATCTTGTTCCCAGCTCGTTTTCCCGGCGAGATTCAAGCGAGAAATCGCAGCTCCCAGCTCGCGCGTCGCCACCACGCGCCATCGTCCCGCAGCCCTCTGCTCTCAGCCGAGCTCATCCTTCTCGCCATTCTCGCAGCAGCTCACCACCACGACCAGCTCCTCCACGCGCAACCAAATCGCGACCAGCAGATCCGCAGCGACCACCCTCCGTTTCAACCCGAAGCTCGCCATCGCGAGCAGCAACCAAGCTCGCCGTCGCGAGCAGCCACCAAGCTCTCCGTCGCGTTGAGCCTCTGCCCGTACCGGCGACCAGCTCCAAGCTCGAGCCACCCACGACCTTGTTCGACCCGGTTCCGGCGAGTCCACGCCGGAAAGAAGCTCCACTCGCGAGTGCTACCACCAGGCGAGCCAACAGCACCCCAGCAGCTCCTCCACAGCTCCAAATCGCAACGAGCAGCTCCTTAATTCCAGTTTAAGCATCTTTAGCAACCGTGTAGCTCAACCGGATCGTTTCCTTAGCCGATCAATTTTTCCGACTTCCGATGTGACCCTTTCGAGAGGTATATCGGCTTAAACATTTCTCCATGAGCTTAATCGAGAATTTAGATGAATAATAAAATTTACAGGAAGCGATTTCGAGCATTATAGAATTTATGGTGATTTTTATCGGCTTAAATGGCATTAAATTCTGTAAATATTGGTTGCTGCCCGGAAAAATGCGAAACTAGCGTGATAAAATTTGTATAGCTGACTTGAGGCCTAGGTTTTAATTTCGTAAATTTTGGTGCTCGTTTAGTATGTTAACTGGATTTTTGAATATGTAGCTGAAATGCCCGATTTTTGATAAATATGATAAGACCTCGGAATTCGATGAAACTTTCACGAAAAATCCTATAAATGCTGAATATGTCATGGTTTAAATTTCGTAATTTTTAGAGGTTGTTTGATATGCCTATAAATTCGAGACTTTAGCTGCTTTGGTGAAAACCCTAGAAATTATCCGGTTGATGTTTAGCTGAGATTACTGGGAATCGAGTTGAACTTAAAGTATGAGTTTTTGACTTGAACCAAGATATATAGGCGGTTTAGTAGAGAACCCTAGTCTGGCCTTTTCCGGTCAGTCCGGATGAACTCTAGATCCGAGTAGAAAAGTTGTGCGTCGACTGATGTCGTGTCCGTGCGTATGCACCCGGACCACGATTAAGTCGAGTTTCACCCAGTCAGATAAATAAGATCAGATCAGTCAGATAAGTTAGATCAGATAAATCAGATAAGCAGTCCAGACTTAGAAATATTTCAGAGGACTCTAGAATGCCTCAAAGTCAGCAAATCCTTTCAGAACGGCTCAAAGCATCTAAATCCAGATTTAATGATTTTTAATCGAGCGAGAGAGAACCGAGTAAGATATATTAATAATAAGAATCAAGTTTTTATTTGAGCTTAGTATTTAGTACATTTTGCTCGAATATTTATGTAGCTTAAGGAGAGTCGAGCCTCCGACAGCTACCAGTGAGTCAGCACTTGCCTAGCAGTAGCAGTTATCAGGTGGGGGTCACGTACTGGTTCTATATCATCTTTAATTTCCGTACCATGTCCGAGTTATGTATGAGAAAAAGATAGTTCATCATGAGGGAGGCCGTGGCGGGCCTTAATGTTCCCCCGTGATTCTGAGGGAGGCCTTAATTGGCCTTAATGATCCCCCGGAGTGTGCACATGATTGGCTTTTAAGCCCCAGGGTCTTTATGACCACCAGATGCCCCAGTTACAGTTACAGTTTCAGTTCAGTTCAGTTCTTATATACTTAAAGTCATGATGTTATTAACGATGCTATACAATTAAGTACTGGTCTTTGCGGAGCATAGCGGTTTTGCTCACGCCCCCACTACGTTTTTCAGGTGACGGAGCGGCGCGTGGCGCGTGAGATTTCAGTGGCAGTCGTGGTCATTAGCTGTCTTTTTGTAACGCATCTGCATGTCATTTATTGAACATGTACTATTATACTATGCGTAGACTTATTATGTTTCAGCTTCCGCTCATTCCAGACTTAGTATGTAATATAAGATTATCAGACTTATGCATGTATAATGCCTTTATCTCCGTGGTACCTTTATATAACGAATTTGATTAGGTTGCATGTATTTATTTACGTCTGCATGAGAAAGAGTTTAAGTTAGTAGCATCCCGCAAGTTAATATGAGTATTTTCGAAAATAAAGTTTAAGAGTTTTTCGAAAATAAAAAGCAAAAATTTTACTCTGATTTTATAAATTCTAGAAATAATTAGGCGGGGTGTTACAGTTGGTATCGGAGCCACTTTGTGGTTCTGTATACTTAATAAGTGTAGAAAAGCATGACCACGCCACGCTCACGCCGCGCCGACTCCGAGGTAAGTCACCTAAGTTTTTCAATTTCTGCAAGAGCATGAGAATATAGTAAGAGACCTTAGGGGCCATCTATCCTCCGACTAGAAAGAGAACTTTAGATAGAATTATAGAAAGTTTATCTAAGTCCAACTCTAGACTATATCAGAATTCGAGCAAGAATCAGTAGAGTTAAGCAGAAATCGGAACTCTAGCCAAGCTAGGTGTTTTCGGTAAAATACTTAAATTCGTCAAGTAGTGTAGCTATTTATTAAGTGGCTATACTAATCAAGTTGTTATTTGGCTATTCAGAATGCCGCCCCGTAGAGCTCCACCCGCAGAGCGGGATCAGTCAGTAGTCGCAGCCCAGTTCCGGACTTACGCCCCTCCGGTTTTCACTGGAGAAGAGGGCCCGTTGGCCGTAGGAGACTGGATCCGCAAGATGGATCGTATTTTCCGGATGATGGGCATATCCGACCAGCACATGGTCTCTTGTGCCGAGTTTCAGATAGAGGGTGCGGCCGGAAACTGGTGGGACGATTACTAGCGTCTCAGGACAGCTGACGAGCGAGACCAGCTGACTTGGGATCAGCTTAAGGGCATTTTGGAGGCCAAGTACTACCCTCGCCACTTTCTCGAGAGGATGGAGCGAGAGTTCTATGACTTGCTTCAGGGAGACCGCTCGGTTGAGGAGTACGAGCGGGAGTTCGCTCGTAAGAGCACCATTGCACGCCATCTTGTGGACACCGACGACAAGAAGGCCTCCCGTTTCCGCAACGGCCTGACCAGAGACCATCGAGTGCTCGTAGCCAGCCATGGCTATTTGACTTATGCTGAGACCGTTGAGCGAGCCCAGCAGATTGAGGCATCCCAGCTGCTAGACACTCCTGCACAGCCACTAGCTCAGGTGGCACCACTAGCCAGACAGCCAGCTGCCATCCAGCCAGCCCTACCAGCGCCACCTCAGCAGGCGCAGCACCGGAACAAGAGGAAGTGGAGAGGTCGCGACGATAGGAGGAACCGTCGACCAGGAGCCCCAGCTCAAGCAGCACCACCGGTCCCGCAGCCCCCAACTATTTGCGCTACTTGTCAGCGCGTCCACCGGGGAGAGTGCCTGGCTGGGCAGGACATTTGCTATCGTTGCCGCAGGCCCGGTCATAGGATCGCAGACTGCCCAGATCGCCCACAGCCCCAGCAGGGCCAGAGACCGCCAGCTCAGAGATAGCCAGCACCGAGACAGCCAGCTCAGCACCCACCTCGAGGTACACCTGCCCGCATTTACGCACTTGACCAGGAGAAGACCGCCGAGCAGCCAGGTACCATGTCTGGCATGCTCTCTTTACTCGATGTACCTGTCTTTGCTTTGTTCGATACCGAGGCGACACATTCGTTCGTCTCGACCAAGTGTCTAGAGGCCATAGGGGTTCAGGGTGTGAGTGACGTCGACCCCCTCGAGATCAGCCTAGCTTCGGGGAGGAAGATAGTCACGAGTTCCCTGGCCAAGAACCTTAGCATGTGTATTGGAGGCAGAACTCTAGAGGTAGACGCATTCGTGATCGAGATGAGGGACTTTGACCTCATTCTCGGCATGGATTGGTTGGAGAGATATCACGCAGACATCCGATGCCGTGATATAGAGGTGACGTTGCACTTAGCCGATGGAGACCACATCACATTCTTCGGGACGAGGACGAGGACTTTACCGCGTATCATTCCCATGGCGAAGGCGACTAAGTGCCTACGGAGGAATGATTGTCAGGGCTATCTAGTCACTATACTCGAGGAACCTTCGGAGGAGCGCATGCACGGAGATGTACCCATAGTGAGTCGGGAGAAGGGGTGCCTCCTCACAAAGGGGGTCGACGTTTTTCCGGATCAGCTACCGGGAGGACCACCTAGTCGTCAGGTGGAGTTCACGATCGACCTGTTGCCTGGAGCGGGGCCAGTGTCGAAAGCGCCGTATCGTATGGCGCCGAAAGAGCTTCAGGAGTTGAAGGCTCAGATTCAGGAGTTGTTGGGTCTCGGCTTCATCCGGCCGAGCGTTTCACCTTGGGGAGCACCTGTCCTCTTTGTGAAGAAGAAGGACGGGACACTGCGCATGTGCATCGACTACCGGGACTTGAACCGATTGACGGTGAAGAACAAGTATCCACTCCCCAGGATAGAGGACTTATTCGACCAGCTGAGAGGTGCCCGTGTGTTTTCCCGGATAGATCTTCGTTCGGGTTACCATCAGTTGAGGATTCGGGAGTCTGACGTGGCGAAGACCGCGTTTCGTACCCGATACGGTCACTATGAGTTTGTCGAGATGCCGTTCGGCTTGACCAATGCGCCGGCAGTATTCATGGATCTCATGAACCGTGTCTTCCACCCATTCTTGGACCAGTTTGTCATCGTCTTCATAGATGACATTTTGGTCTACTCGAGGAGCACAGCCCAGCACGAGGAGCATTTGAGGATCGTGTTGGAGACTCTTACGCGGGAGAGACTGTACGCCAAGTTCTCGAAGAGCGAGTTTTGGCTCGATCGAGTGGCATTCTTCGGTCACATTGTTACAGCCGAGGGCATTGAGGTCGATCCCGGGAAGATCGAGGCAGTGAGGAACTGGTCAGCACCGAGGTCTGTTACCGAGATACGGAGTTTTCTCGGGTTAGCAGGCTACTACAGGAGGTTCATTGAGGGGTTTTCGAAGATAGCCCTACCCTTGACACACTTGACGAGGAAAGGGACTAGGTTCAATTGGAGTAGCCGTTGTGAGTCGAGCTTTCAGGAGCTCAAGAGGAGGTTGACTACCGCACCCGTGCTTACTATTTCGGACCCTACACGGAGTTTCACTATCTATAGTGATGCTTCGAAGCAGGGACTTGGGTGCGTGCTGATGCAGGAGGGCAAGGTTGTCGCTTACGCTTCGCGACAGCTGAAGCCCCACGAGGAGAACTACCCGACTCATGACATCGAGTTGGCAGCCATTGTCCACGCACTCAAGATTTGGAGGCACTATTTGTATGGTGGTCGGTGCGAGATCTACACCGATCACAAGAGTCTGCAGTACATCTTCACGCAGAAGGAGCTCAACATGCGCCAGAGGCGATGGTTGGAGCTAGTGAAGGATTATGATTGCACCATTCAGTATCATCCGGGGAAGGCGAACGTGGTAGCTAATGCCCTTAGCCGAAAGGCGAGGGGCGAGTTGACTTGCATGATCACCCAGCAGAGTCAGCTCCTTCGAGAGTTTGCACGAATACAGTTAGACGTCGTCGAGTCACTTCCTACGGTGCCTGTAGTAGGAGGTGTTCGGTCGATGAGAGTGTGGCCCATGCTCCGAGATCGAGTTCGGAGAGATCAGTCCGTAGATGAGTTCGTCCGTTCCATGAGGGCGAAGGTTGTTGCCGAGGGCGTAAAGGGGTTTTACCGAGGCGCGGATGGTGCCTTGGAGTATAAGGGAAGACTAGTTGTGTCGAATGTCGAGGCCCTGAGGAAGGAGATCTTGACTGAGGCTCACAGTGCACCTTATTTGGCGCATCCCGGCAGCACCAAGATGTACCATGACCTGAAAGGGTCGTTTTGGTGGAGGGGCATGAAGAGAGATGTTGCTGAGTTTGTGAAGAAGTGCTTGGTTTGCCAGCAGGTGAAAGCCGAGCACAAGTTTCCACCGGGTTTAGTGCAGCCCTTGGAGATCCCACTGTGGAAGTGGGAAGAGCTTACCATGGATTTCATTGCGGGACTACCCAAATCGAGGGAGCAGCATGATGCGGTTTGGGTAGTTGTGGACCGACTGACGAAGACGGCTCGTTTCTTGCCCGTGCGGATGACGATGTCCATGGACCAGCTCGCGACGATCTATAATCGCGGGGTGGTGCGACTTCACGGAGTCTCCAAGGTCATAGTGTCCGATCGAGACCCTCGTTTTACCAGCCAGTTCTGGAAGAGCCTCAGCGAGGCCGTGGGGACACAGTTGAGGTTCAGCACCGCTTTCCACCCGCAGACCGACGGGCCGTCGGAGCGGACCATCCAGACACTCGAGGACATGCTTCGAGCATGTGTTCTGGACCGTGGTAGTTCATGGGAGGAGTTGTTTCCATTGATGGAGTTCGCGTACAACAACAGTTATCAGGCGTCGATCAGGATGGCACCGTACGAGGCGTTGTACGGTCGCATGTGCCGATCACCCCTTTATTGGGATGAGGTCGGCGAACGGCAGGTTCTCGGTCCGAAGCTGATCGAGGACACGGTGGAGAAGGTCGCCTTGATCCGTGAGCGGATGAAGGTGGCACAGGATCGAAAGAAGCGTTACGCTAACCAGCGTAGACGAGATATCCAGTTCGAGAAGGGAGATAAGGCATTCCTGAAGATCACGCCTTTGAGAGGCGTGGTACGCTTCGGGAAGAGGGGAAAGCTGCAGCCCCGTTTTTTAGGCCCATTCGAGGTCCTCGAGCGAGTGGGCGAGGCCGCATACCGGTTGCGTTGCCACCCGAGCTTTCGGGTGTGCACAACGTCTTCCACGTTTCGATGCTGAAGGATTATGTGTATGACACAACGCACGTGTTGAGCTACAGTGAGCTTGACGTCGGGCAGGACCTGACGTACGAGGTGCAGCCGTTTGCCATTCTGGACCGAAAGGTTCAGTATCTGAGGAGCAGAGATGTAGCGCTCGTTCGAGTCCACTGGACTCGCCACGGCGAGACCGAGGCCACGTGGGAGCGAGAGGAGGACATTCGAGCTCGCTATCCAGATTTCCAGTTCTAATTAGTAGTATCGTATTATGTATTTTCAGTTTCTAGTTTTAGTCGAGTTGGCCTTATGATTAGTTTTGTCATTTCCGGGGACGGAAATTTAAGGAGGATAGATTGTAACACCCCGGACAAAAATTATATTAGTAGCTCAACTTATTTATCGGATTTAGTATTATTTTAATTATGCGGAGAATTAATAATATTAATTGCATAATTTATTTTTTTACTAAGCCCAAGTAGTATTTTATAATCGAGCCTAGTAGCAATTATATTACCGAGCCCGACATTATTTACTCGGTCCAAGTAACGGCATTTATTTTCCTAAATCGAGCCCAATCTATTAGGCCCGATTTCTAAGCCCAACAAGAGCAAAAAACCCTAAGCTACCCACCCTTCTATAAATAGATGCCCCCATGTTCCCCAACACCCAACATCAAGAGCAAAACCCTAGCCACCCCAAGCTTCTATTCATCATCTTCCCCCACTTCATTTTCTTTCATTTTTCAAGATCTAAAGCTAAGATCATTACATTTTAGCTTCATTTTTCAAGATCTTGTGCTAGAAACAACACAAATTCAGCTTTCCATTTAATATTTATAAAAAAAAAAAACAGAAAAAAAATCAAAAAAAAAAAAAAAATAGGAATCTGCTCAGGCGCACAGCTTCTTCTTCGCGACCTCCATCTCCGACCGTCCTTCGATTTTTTTCGGCGATTTCACAGCAGCGAACCCGACCAGATCCGCACAGCAGCTCGTCCGACCATTTCATCTTGTTCCCAGCTCGTTTTCCCGGCGAGATTCCGGCGAGAAATCGCAGCTCCCAGCTCGCGCGTCGCCACCACGCGCCGCCGTCCCGCAGCCCTCTGCTCTCAGCCGATGTAACACCCCACCTTACTAGTAAATCAGAGTAACGCATTTATTCGCAAAGTCCTTGAAAACTAAAATATTTTTACTTTGCGAAACTGATTTGGGGTGCTACCGTGAAAAATCGTTACTTAACTTTAGAAAACCGTTGTTTTAACTTACTAGAAACGTCCGGTTATTTAAAACTTTACTTTCTGAAAAGTTTATCAAAACATGATAAAACCGTCAAAATCATCAAGCATCGTCAAAAGATAGTCAAAACGTAAGCGGAAGCATAAGTAATAGTTATACAGTCCAAAAAAACATATATACAAATGTCCTGAATGTCCCGAGCTGCTCCGTCATGTCACACTCCCGGCCCGACCTGCTGACCTGAAAAATAGGATAAAACTGGGGCGTGAGCACTAGGCACTGTGCTCCGTGGAAACTCATACTAATGTAAAACATCGTAAATAATAACAATATCATGAACTAAGCATATATATCTGAACTGAACTGATACCGGTCTGAACTC